CTGAATTAATAGCTTTTCTGTCATTATTAGCTAGGCGGTGCATTTTGTTGCAGTGGAAGTCTCCTCAACCCCCATCCCATACTCAGTGGATTAAAGATGCCTTATTTTTTGTTAAATTAGAAAAAATTAAACATAGTCTTGGAGGTTCAGTGGTCAAATTTTCTAATATTTGGTTGCCTTTTTTGGAACATGTCAAATCTCTGAGACTTGAGGCAATTACTGTAGAGTGAATGGTTGTCATTCTTGCATTTTTGTTTTGATCTGTGCTTCCAGTTGAGTATTAGTGCTGCTGATATACCACAAACATACAACTTTTTCTTGACATAAAACCATAAGTTAAGAATGTGCCACCCCCCAGCCTATTTAGTTTAATACATTTTCCCTTTTCTCTCACTTTTTAAAAAATTTCTTTTCTATTTTTTTCTATTTGTTTATTTTATTTTATTTTATTATTACTGTTTATTTTAGTTAATACACCATGCTGTCAACCTCAACGTCTCGTACAGACCTGTTTATATGCTCAATTTGAAAATTGATTTATGCACATCATATAGTGTTTATGCATGTCATATACTGTGTGTCGCACAATATGAGGGTTATAGTGTGGTTTATTTTATTTTTTTTTTTTTATTCAGTAATGTTGTACTGTTATATATATATATATATATATATATATATATATATATATATATATATATATATATATATATATATATTCTGTTTGTACTGTTATTGTCTCTTTTTACTTTGTTTGTTAACTGTCAAAAAAATCTAATAAATAAATCTTTAAAAAAAAAAAAAGAAATTGGGGGAATAAATAAACAGGGGAGGCTAAAAATTCTGACTTCAACTCTATACTGTATATAGACCATATTGAGTGATGAAAACAAAAACAATGGTCCCGACGTATTTCCTGTTTTACATGTTTAATTTCTATATCTTCTGAGAATCCAAAAAGCAGCACATATTGATAAATATGGTTGTGATAGAATTGACTCTTGTTACAGTTATGAAATAGTTTGATAACACGCAGGAAATGTTCATGGGCCAATGACATGACCGCACTGAAATGGTTTATATAAATATGTGTGTTATGTGTGAGTTGTATGCAATTTTAATGTTAGAATGTATTTTTAAAAATCTAAATATCCTTAAAATAGTGGTTAGAAATCAGTAGTCAGTTTAGCATTTTTGCTCTATTTTAAAGTATTTTAATTTGATTTAATCAAAAAACACTAAAAAATATATTATTGTGTAATATTTAAAATGATTTAAGTATATATATATATATAATAAAATCTTTTCATTCCCGTGATGATAAATATTATTTTTAAGCATATATCTATCAAACATTAGTGATCCATGAAAGAATCTTTAATGGGTTACATGATTAGGGCATGAACTGTATTAAATAAGCATTCTCGTATGAAAAAAAACATTCAAGAGGTACACTTTTGTACCTTTAAGGTAGTAATATGTACCATTAAGGTATTAATAAGGACTCTTTAGTTACAAATGTGTAACTGAGAGTGAGGAAAACACACTTTACAAAGAACTGAGAGTCACTGGATTAGGAAAGTCAGATCTGCTTACATGTTTATAAAATTGTGCTTAGGCAATTATAAAATAAAAAATATAAAAAACATGTTTAAGTTATTTTATAGAACATTTTGAGGGATGTAAACAAAATGGTCCCAACGTATTTCCTGTTCATTTTTTTCTATAGCTCACAAGAATCCAAAAAGTACCACATATTGATAAAAAATGTCATGGCAGCTGCATGTTTTAACATTAAGTTATGATTGAATTGCCTCTTATTACAGTATGAAATAGTTTGATAACTATTTCAGTGATATGAATAGTTTCATATCACTGGTCCATGAAGGAAATGTTCATGGACCAGTGATATGACCACACTAAAATGTATTTGAGTTAAATGTAAGTTGTTTGCATTGTAATGTTAAAATGTATTTTTAAAATCTAAACAAACAAAATCTGTTTTCTTCCAAATCCAAACTACAATGCTGATTAAGAAAATAATTTTAGCTTGATGTCAAAAATGATATGTCCACTATAACTAATTACAAGTCACAATTTATGCAAATGACAAAACCATCCAAAAGACCACAAACTTCACAGCCAACATGAACTGTATTTCTCATTCACTACTAGGAGAGTTTCCTTCATTTCTATGGACTTTACAACCACTTTAGTGACATTCCCAGTCTCTTCCAGAGAAAAACACACCAAAAATCCCCTAAATTGTCACCATTATCATCTCATCATCTGTAAGCCATTGCGCAAAACAGCCTTTAAGAAAAGGAAAATTGTTCCAAACACTGTTCCCTGCGTCTGCCTTCATTTGACGTGCGCAGAAATGAGAGCGATCATTCAAACGACACACACACACACCAAACTGTGCTGCTAAACTGAGCGTTTAGCCTCTAACTGAGCTAAACGCTGTTCTGCTGGAAGGCCAGTCGCTGAGATTAGCGCTGTTTCCCTGCAGGAGTGCTGTCTCATACAGGTAATTACTCAATTATCAGCAAACACACACAGCTCTGACAATACAGGCTGCAGGAAGAGAATGAAGACTGGTGAAAAAAACATACACCTTGGAGACACACATGAATATAGCAGCACTTCATGAAGAGCAACTGAGAGATGAGCCTTCTGTTAGTATAAATAAACTTCTTTAATAACACAGGAGTGTTCAAAAATGTGTCAAGGAACTTTCTGATCACATTAGAAAAGTGAAACATATCAATTATTAGAATTATTTGTCTGAGATTGACTTAAATCTAGATGTAGAAGCAGGTTTATGGTGCTACTGGAGCTCAGTTTGAACTCTCCTAGGGTGTTTTTCTGTTTATCTCCACTGGTTGGCGCTGAAGAGAGCAGAACTGATTGCTGATTTATTTTTTTTTTCACTTGCAGACTCACTAAAAAGACTCAAAGACAAAAAAAAAAAAAAGCTATACATATAATGTTAACCATTTGCATGGGAAAATTAGTTAGGGGCTCTTTAATCGGTGTCCTAATGATGTTCCAGTGAAATCTGAGAATTATTATTTGACTCTAAACTCAAACAAAATGTATTTAAAAAAAATTAAACACACAACCAAAACTAAACCCTAGCGAAGTAAATTAATGTCAGTAATATTATTGACCAATATGAAAATTATTTATTTACAATATAGTTTGTAAAGTAATATTTTCTGTCTTTTAGTAGATATTTTATATGTGAGACTTGCTTTGTTTACCAAATAAGTAATCTAATTAGACTTGCATAGTAAACATGAAATAAAAGTTTAAAAGGCATTATTTTTTATTTCATATATGATTTTTTTTCTTTAAATGATATTCCCAAAATCATTCTGCATAAATATACAGCTTTTCTTTTTTTTTTCTTTTTTTTTACAAAATTCTGCGCAGAAATAGCAAAAAATGTCTGCAGATTCTGTCTGGCCCCATTTATTGCTCTCTAAACATGATTTACATAAATATACTTTGTTATAGCATTTTACAATAAGGCTTCATTTTAAAATGATATTACTACATAAGTTAACATGAACTAACAAAAAATATTGATCATGAATAAAGTTATGTTACTAATATGCACACAACATATTTGTTTGAAATCTGGAGATAGACAAATACATTTTATTGAAACACATACCTACTAAATCCAGAGTAAATCCCAAAAAGGTGTTTTTTCTACTTTTTCCACTTTAAAAATCATATGTAATTTCATATTTTTATTTGTCACTTCATTTGTAATTAATTCTGAAATTTGTTATTCATTTCTGAGTAATATTTAAAGCAATATTTAATGTAACATTAACTAATATTGTGAAGTGGTAAAAGTGTTTTTAAAAAGTGTTAAGTGTGTACCTGATGTATAAACATCATGAAAACAAATAATAAATTACTTCTAAATAAGTATTATTTTAGAATAGATTATTTTTACTAGATATTTTTCAAGACACTTCTATACCGCTTAAAGTGACATTTAAAGGCTTAACTAGGTTAACTAGGCATGTTAGGGTAATAAGGCAAGTTATTGTATAATTATGGTTTGTAGACTATCGAAAAGAAATATAGCTTGAAGGGGCTAATAATTTTGACCTTAAAATGGTGTTTTAAAAAAATAAATACTGAATTTATTCTAGCCGAAATAAAACTAAAATGAGACTTTCTCCAGAAGAAAAAATATTATCAGACATACTGTGAAAATGTCCTTGCTCTGTTAAACATCATTTTGGAAATATTTTTAAAAGAAAAAAATTTCAAAGGGGGGCTAATAATTCTGACTTCAACTGTGTGTATATATATATATATATACAGAACAGAAGATGCTTTTTTCTAAAGGGTAATGTCTAGACGAGTAGTTTCATGTTCAGAAACATCATTTAGGTACATGTTAGATTTGAATAGATCTCTTTGAGGAAAATAAAACTTACATTATTGGTTAAAGATTTAAAATAATTGAAAGAAATCTCTCAAACTCTTTAACAAATGCATTTATAATGTCACAACACATTTTGTTTCAAATAAATCTGTTTCATTAAAATTAGTTTTAGTCATTTGTTTTTTAAGAGTAATATTATCTGTCATAGTCCAGTTTTAAAAAATTCAATGTAAAAAATCTATAAGCATATTATTATAGGCCAGGCTTACAATTAAGTATCCAATTTCTGAAATTAATATATTATTGTATATAAATTATTTTGATTTGATTCAATCAAAAGACAGTAAAAGAATATATTAATGTGTAATATTTAAAAGGTGTACTAATTGTGTACATTTTTAAATGTTTTTATTTGTGTGATATAAGTATTATTATTTTTTAAGCATATATCTATGAAACATTAGTAAGGTATATGCAATAAAAAAACCTAAACCTAAAATATATGTGAGAGGGTTCTCTGTAGTCTAAAAGATTTCTTGGTCGAAGTCTACAAGTGTCATTTCCAGTAGAAAAACAAGCATTTCTGTACCTGTTTAGAGAGTGTGTGAGTGTGAGCTGGTTTGCTGGGCAGGACGCAGCTCGTCCTGCAGACAGACTGATGATCCCCCTGTCTAAAGCAAACAGAAACACAAACCCTTTACACACTACACAAACACAATAACATCAAACCATCAGTGAACGTACAAATACAGCTTCTCTCACCATGTTTTGATGATCTTAATGGATTTAAAGGAGAGATGCAGCACAGAAGAGAAGTGGCATCGCCAACACCTGTTCAAATCACTGCAGGTCACACATTTCTCTGGCTGAACATTAAAACAACATTTTAGAAAAGATCTTAATAATATAACTGTCATCACAAGAATGTTTGCAGAAGAAAATAATAGGATTTAATAAAGAGTTATTTTAAAAGAATTATTCATCATTGAAAACCAAATGAGCATATTACAATGATGCAAATTATATTTGCATACTATATACAGTGTTAGTAACTAGTTACTGTAATTTAATTACTTTTTCCACATGAAAAAAAAAGAAATGTAAGGGATTACTCTTCCTTTTTAGGTAGTTTACTCACAGTTATTCATAATTTAATTGCTGTAGACACTGTATATGAATTCAACAGTTCTATATAAATCAATTCAAAGATGATTGTAATTTGTTATAAAAATATACTTTGCAGAATGATTTCATTTTTCAGCTAAAGAAAGTTACATTCATCAAGACAATTTAAGAAATACGAAATTTAGTTGAGTTAATGAAAATATAAGGTATAAATACATAGAAGCAAATCTGAATCTAAAAATTATTATATGTGTGTCTGTATTACATGTTATTCAGATATTTTGCATTTTAACCCAATTTTTCAACTAGGTTACATTTTTCCAAAAATTGCTAATTCTTACGAGACAATGACTTTGTTTACAAGAACACTAGTAATCTAGTTATTTGCCTTAATCTGAATAAAACAATAATTTGATTAAGGTGTTTACATGTGCTGCTTTTTGAATGTTACTTTCATGATCCCGTTTTACATGTTATAGCACATAGATCAACTTTAGATTAAGTTAATTAAAAATCGCTGTTTACATGGTTGACTCTTAAACAAAGTTTTGTCTTAGATTAAAATTGGTGTATTGGCGTCCATGTAAACATACTCAATTAGATTACTGATGTCCATGTAAATGTAGGCAATGAAACGAAAAGGAAAATTTGTCAATATGTCTTTTTATGCAATGTAAAATGTACAAAATAAAATGAAAAGGTCCTGATTTGACTCATTAAAATGATTAAAATGAAAATTACAATATTGGAGTTTCATATTTATGAAGTCAATTTTTTTTTTCATATTTAGTAGACTAGAGTTAAGTAATTAAATTACTTATGGAGTAAATAATTGTCTTTTAATACTAATTAGAAAGGAAATTTGAATACAATTATAATGATGCAATTGGAGGATGGTGCGGTGGTGCAGTGGGTAGCTTCGTCACCCCACAGCAAGAAAGTTGCTGGTTCGAGCCTTGAAGTTTGCATGTTTTGCTCTTGTTGCCATGGGTTTCCTCTGGGTGCTCCTGTTTTTCCCACAAGCCTAAAGACATGCGCTATAGGTCAATTGGGTAGGCTAAATTGTCCTTAGCGTTTGTGTGTGATTCAGAGTGCATGGATGCTTCCCAGTCATGGGTTGCAGCTGGAAAGGCATGCACTGTGTAAAGCATATGCTGGATAAGTTGGTGGTTCATTTCTCTGTGGTGACTGCTGATGAATAAAGTGACTAAGCTGAAAAGAAAATGAATGAATTATTTTTTTTATTTCACAAATAGCCACTGACTGTGACTGAGGAAAGTTAGATGTGCTGGCCAGTTTATTATTTGCCTAATAAATCCCAATGGGCTCCCGTTTTTAGTTTAATAAATTAACAGATTCCTATTTTTTTTTCTAATGATATATTATGCAATACATTTGTATATTAAAAATAAGTATGTATTCATATGTCTTTATTCTGAATCTAGAGGAATCTTTTTGGTACTTTAAAAAGTGTGGTTATAAAGACCATCCGACAAGCTAATCCAGCTAAAAATAGTGCTTAATATTTTACAAAAATGCAGCTTTAAAATCTCATAATTAAAAAGGAAATGAGACAAATAACTGCAAAAAGGTCCACATTTTGAGAAAAAGAACCACCCCTTACACCAAGCTGTCTGCGGGTCTGTATAGGGTATAAACTCACAGAACCAAAGAAAGTAACTTAATTTTTCAACTACACTCGATTTTTTTGATGCGTAAAAGACAAAAAAACAAAAAAGTAAGAAATGTGTCAATATGTTATGTATGCAATATGAAATTTACAAAATAAAACTAAAAGGTCCTGGTTTGACTCAAATATAAAAATTAAAATGATACATTAAGAGTTGCGTCCCTATTAAATGTATTTTTATTTTGATTAAATAAAGTTAAGTAATTAAATTACTTATTGAATAATTAAGTTACTTTGAAGACTAATTAGAAAAGTAATTTAAATACAATTTTAATGATAAATAATGTTAACCTTTTGATGTAACTTACCCAACATTGATTTAATAGATAGTTTTTAGCCCTTTTTCTGTACAAATATCCTCAAATAACATCCTCAAATAAAGATACATTTCTTTAAAAAGCTAGGTGATTTAAGATCAAATTGTTGTATTATGAGAATTATCCTGCATTATATCTTCATGCTGAAAATTGTTCATACATAATTTGCCTGATTAACATAAATTATTCAACAAAAAAGTGGTGAGAATTACATTCTGTTCCCAATGTTTTCTGACTGATATAAAAAAGACACTCAAAATCTCCTAAAAAAATAAAACTGTAATCTGTTTTTAATCAGATTTTTGTTCAAATCACGGCATATTTAATAAAAACGCCTTATTTGTATACTTACAAATAAAAAAGTTTTCAATTATGAATAAAATTAATCAACTGGTAAACTATAATCAAAACTATTAGTCTAAATTTTTAGCCAAATCCCCTGCAGATTCTCACCTTAACGACCCACCAGCAGCTCAGAGCAGTTTAAACAGCCACAACACAATACAGATGGAGCAGAACATCCCAAACTCTGATCTAGTTAATGCACTGCTGTGTCGACCCACCCAAAAGGCCTCGTTTAAGCCCGTCTCCCCCATCACACGAGCACCTGCCGGCGGACACACACCTGGCCCACAGCGGCATCCCACCGAGAGGCCCTGTGCTGCTCCACAAACCAGCCCAAATCCCCCTGAGAGAACCTGCCGAGAGCTAATGAGGAATTACAGAGGACTAGAACAGCTTTACTGGGGTTTACCTCATGCCAGTGACTCACAGGAAGACCCAGAGGCCACTAAATACACACACACACAAACTGATGCATGCTCAGGCAAAAATACTGATCCACACATACACACGCACACTAATGCAGGCTCAGGCAAAAATACTGATAGACGCGCACACGCTTTTACCCACCCATGGAATCAAATGTTATTGCTTATAGACATGACTTTGTTGGTACCGCAGCTGCGCACACCAAAACAAACACACACAACTGCAGGCTGGTACGTGCTGCTGTTTTATCCAGAAATTAGTTTTAAGGCAAACGCAAACAAATTTAAAACTGACTCAGGTTGGGTGTACAGTATAAAACACAGATGTTCATGAATCACCATATCTTCTGTCGAAAATATTTACTTTCTGAATATAGAAATAGGGATGTGTGTGTGTGTGTGTGTGTGTGTGTGTGTGTGTGTGTGTGTGTGTGTGTGTGTGTGTGTGTGTGTGTGTGTGTGTGTTTATGAAATTAGAGCACAGGTATCAATATGTGTGGGGACATTTGTTAGTATTGTTGTTTTCACTGTTGTTCTGTGACAAATGTTATTATTTTTAATGCTCATGAAATCTATTTTATTGTAAAGTATTATATTAATTGTTTTGTTTTAGTATTTCTACACTGTAAAACCCAACAGTCAACTTTATCAAATAAAATGAGTGTAGTTAACTCAAAATTGACTGAAAGTTAATTCTACTCATTTGAAAAGAGTTTTGAACTCAGTGCTGAAGGTAATAATTTAATTAAATACTTTATTACTTTAACTTTAATGGAGTAAGTTCACAGTACTCACATAGATTAGTTTTTTAACTCAAATGGTTTGTTGCAATCGGTTTGCCAAATGATTTGAGTTGCCTTAACTTATTGGGTTTTACAATTGATTTGAGTTCTCTTCATTTATCGGGTTTTACTGTGCTCAAATTGCTTCGTTTACTCAAATGGATCAAGTTCACAGTACTCATTTGGATTAGTTCTAGAACTTAAATGGTTTGATGAAGCGGTTTCCTCAAATGGTTTGAGTTACCTTAACCTTTTATATTTTACGGTGTATATATGCTTAATTCTTCAAATGGTACATGAAGAATGCAAAAGTTCTGTCTGAAATGTTTTTATCTAAAACATTTTCATGTTCAGTATTTCATTTTAAAGGAAATTAAAATAACTTAAAATAAATGAAAAATTCATTGCATAAAAGTAAAATTACTAAAACTACACACAATTCAATTCAATTCAATTCAGCTTTATTTGTATAGCGCTTTTACAATGTAGATTGTGTCAAAGCAGCTTCACATAAATGGTCATAGTAACTGGAACAGTGTGGTTCAGGTTTTAGTGTTTAAGTTCAGTTCACTTCAGTTTAGCTCAGTTCAGTGTGATTTAATCATTACTGAGAGTTCAAACACAACACAGCAGCCTGAGAAAAATTTTAGATGGCACTTGAAGGTTTTTGCATTTAAACTCTTCATATATCCTTTAAAACTAATCTAAATATTGTTTAACTCATAATGAAATTAACTTATTTTAAACGTGATATTTTTTTTTGTGATAACCGGAACATTGTGAAACACTTGCAATTTAAAGCTGATTCTTCATTCACTCATTCATTACCTTCAGCTTAGTTTCTAATTATTCAGGGGTCGCCACAGCGGAATGGACTGCCAACTATTCCAGCATATGTTTTACGCAGCGGATGCCCTTTCAGCCACAACCCAACACTGGGAAATAAAGCTGACTAGAATTTTAGAATAATTATTTTCCTTTAAATTAATAATATTATTCACTTTCCTTTGGCTTATTCCCTCATTTATCAGATGTCACAGCGGGATGTAGCAGCAATTAATTTAGCATATGTTTAGTACAGTGGCTGCTCTTTAAGATGTCAGTATTAATGTCAGTGCAGGGAAACACCCACACAGTAATTACACAATTTAATAATTTTATTCTTAATTATTCATTCATTCATTCTCTTTTGGCTTAGTCCCTTTATTCATCAAGGGTCGCCACAGCGAAATGAACCGCCTACTTATCTAGCATATGTTTTATGCAGCGAAAGCCCTTCCAGTTGCGACCCAATGCTGTGAAACATCCATACACACTCAATACATACACTACAGACAATTTAGTTTATTTCATTTACCAATAGCGCATGTCTTTGAACTGTGCAGGAAACCGGAGCACCCGAAGAAAACACACCCGAACACAGGGAGAGCATGCAAACTCCACACAGAAACGCCAACTGGCTCAGCCGGGACTCGAACAAGCGACAACCTTCTTGCTGTGAGGTGACAGTGCTAACCACTGAGCCACCGTGTTGCCTATTCTTAATTATGTTTGTGTAAATGTCCAAATAAATCTTTAAAAATTACATAATAATGGAAAAATGGGGTGAATTTGTTTGAGTGAAGACAAGAAATTTATGACAAATACAATTACCAATGACCTCTTAATTAATCATTTTCTATTTTATAATAAATCTCTATTCCTATAATGATAAAATATTCAAAATATTTATTTAACAACATAATTTACATGCCAATTTCCACATAACAGCTGCACTGTAAAAAAATTTGTAATTTAACGGTTTATTTCTAGCAGCTGTGGGGCCGGAAGAAAAACGTAAAATAGCAAACGTTAAATTACAGAAATTTACCGTAAAATAATGAATATTAAAATACAGTAATTTACCAGAAGTTTAAATTTAAGGACATTTCTTTTAATACCTATTATTTTACGATATATTTCTATAATTTATCCACACCAGCTGCCAGAAACAAACGGTATAATTAAGATTTTTTAGCACATATAACGTATATAGCAATTTACCTGTACACTTGCCAATTTGTATATTTGCATTCACTGCTTACTTCTATTTTCAAAATATATTTATTATCTGTTTCTTATCCGGACTCTAATTCTGTTGCACTGTAGAAGCTCTGTCATGAAAACAAATTCCTCATATGCAAACAAACCTGATATTAAAGCTCTTTCTAGCTCTGACTCTGACTCTAAATTATGGTTCTTATTATCAATGTTTAAGTTGCTCATGCTAACTAATGTTAACGTGTCAAATAGTAAATCAAGATTATTTGATAAATATAAAGTTCAACATTTAACAATATTATATAATATCTCATTATTAATGCATTTACTGACACATTTGCGTCACCAGTTCATTTATTTACTAAAAAACTTTGCTCTATATTCCACACCCTATAATGACAAAGCAAACCTTAGCAAAATAACTAAAGAGGAAAAACATCAGTACTGAGCTGAATTACCTTCGGCAACAATTACCTTTAGCAGTCTCAGGTCTGCTGGATTTGATGTGGTAATCTTTGCACATCTGCATTTTGTTTTTCTGCCATTCTTCTCTGTAGATGCTTCAGCTCTGTCAGATTGGATGTGAACTGTCACTAGATGACTCTTTTCTTTTTCTGGATATGTTCTTTCAAGTATGGAGGTATCCTAATCAGAGTAAAAGAGTAGTTTAGCACATTTCATGAGAGTTACATATATTGTAACACAGCTGGAACTGTTCAGAGCTAAACAGAGTGAAAGTATTTGTATATCAGCATACAGAGTCTGGATGTTTAAGAGAAAATGGAACTGAAAGCTCTGCAGCGACCAAACCTTAATCAGCAGAAAGGATGAAACTACCTTTGCTAAGGAGCATGTTGTGTTCACATATATAAAAGGCAAGTTTAATGTAATTGAGAGTCTGATTGGAGACAATATCTTCATTGTGAAACTAAAGAAAGACTGAACCCAAAGTGTGTGAAGTAAGAGAAAGGTGAAGGTGAAATGTGATGGTATGAGGGATGTTTTCTGCAGCAGGAGTCTGGCTTCTTTTAGTTACATGGCAGAATGTATGCTAATGTAAATCAGAAGCTCTTTCCGCAACGTGGTTACTTTCAATCAATCTGTGCCCAATAATCTAGCAATTTTAATATGAGCCCCTTACCATAACAAAATGGGTAAAACTTTTCCTTGAAGCTAAAAACATTGTAAAAATGAAATGGCAGCCTAGAGTCCTGAAATAAACCTGATTGAAAATCTCCAGAAAATCCTTGGTGACAAAGTTATGGTTAAGCAACCCACTGAACTGTGGATGAGACTAAAAAAGAGATCAGGATCAGAGCAGTGTGATCAGTGTTTTCCACAATATGAAGTTACGCTACTCTAATAGCCAGTGTTGGAGGTAACGCATAACAAGTAATGCGAGTTCCATAATAACATATTAATTCAGTAATATTACTTAATATATTCAGAAATAATATTTGAGCTACTTTTTTAAAAAAATGTAATGCGAGTTACTTTTTAGTTTAATTATTTAGCTTTAAAAAATAAATTGCTGAATTAAAAATAATGTAGTCATGTTGAATTTTAAATGCGCTCCCGGTGAGAAATGAAGATAGCATACCAGAGCTTTACATTTTTGTGATGGAAGAATTCTCATTATTTTTAATGCATAGAAGAAAAGGGGATCGTCTCAATGGACAGTGATTTTACCTAACGTATATGACCAAAAGTACAAATGTCACAAACAAATTGCTTTTAACGTTCAATAATCTGTATATAAGACATGTATAGCTCTGAAGTTTGTAAGTTTTCAGAAGATAACATTATCCTAAATTATAAATTTTAATCTGTTTTTTAAAGAAAAATGAAGGTTTAGGTTATACAGGACATTGTGATTGCATAACTCCCTTACCTAAAAAACACGGCAATAGTCTAGTGGCTAAGTTATATAACATCATGGTCCTCACAGCAACCTGAGTTCAATTCCCAGCTTCAGGTCCTATGCGGATCCTTCCTTTTTTTTTTTTGCTCCCAATGCTTTTCTGTATGTTCTCCACTATCCTATTTCAATAAAAAAATTATAAACCTGTGAAAAAAATTATTAAAAAAAAAAGAAGACAAGAAATTTCTGAAACAAATCAAGCCTCAGCCAGGCAAGAAAAAGACAAAAGGTGAGACAAAAGTAATGTAGCGCATAACTTTACATATAAACTAACAAGGTAACACAACTGGTTAGTTTTTTAATTAACATTCACCAACACTGCTAATAGCATGATAAATTTGCAAATAAATCTTCCCATTTTTAACAATGAATATTAATTGAATTTATCTTTATTTCTGTAACGCTTGTAGACACAATGTAGATTGTGTCAAAGCAACATAACATAGTTTATGTTACCTACTAATTTAAAACTGTTTCAGTCCAGTTTTCAGAGTTCAGTTTTGTTCAGTTCACTGTGGTTTAATTTTCACTGCTGAAAGTCCAAACACTGAAAAGCAAATCACAGTGGCGAAAATCAAACTTCACCAATTGACAAAAGTGAAGGAAAAAAAACTTGAGAGAAACCAGGCTCAGCTGGGCAAAACCATTTCTCCTCTGGCAAAACTTCAAAACAGGAGAACTCTGGATGTCCATTGTGGAGAAGATGCAGGAGTGAGTATGTCACCAGCGGGTGTTCAGGCTGGCCCACGGGATCAATGTGAAGACACGACTTTCACTGGGGTCTTTCAAGAATCACTCTCATGCTCAAGATTACATAATTTGCATTTAAAAATGGGTTATATGTTGTACTTCAAACTAAAATTGATTATTAAGAAAGGGGGGGGGGGTCTTTTTTCACATCAATTCTTTTTTAGCAAACTAACAGTAAGAGGGGTGTGGTGAAGAATATTGTGGCTGAAGCATCAAACTGATGTCAACAAAGAAAGGACGCCCCTCCAAACTTGGAAACAAATGATCAGACTTTAATTGAAGATTATCAAAACATTTTTTATTCAGTTGATTAACTTGCATATATTAATTGTTCACCTAAAGAATAGCGCTAACATTGTCAATTTTAATTTCACACAGACTAAGTACTACGGTAATTCCCACTGTTAACTTGCTTAGTATTAAGATATTGGCTGATTATTAGTACTTACAAAATCTGATCTTTTTCTACATTCCTAATCCTACCCAATGCCTAAACTAACTACCACCTCACTAATAATAATCAACTAATAAGCAAATAGTCTTAGTTAATGATATTTAAATAGTAAGATATGTACCTAAAAATAATATGTGACCAAAAATATTCTCTAATTTTACTTCCACTGTATATATCCCAATAATATTTAATATATGGTAAAAATACACTTAATAAAACATGAGGAACAGCAGTTAGTATAGTTCCCCATACACTCTTCTTGTGTATGAGAACACCCTGAACAGGTATGTAACATGCAATTACAACATGCAGCTCCTCACGCACTGCTCATTACAGCATGTGACGTATGTGTGAGGGTGGAAGGTGAGCTGTGTTGATAGACTGACACCTAAAATCAGCATTCTGACAAGAACAAGTAAACTCGCTTTCATATTTCATACATAACCAGGGTGGGGGGGTGATGATTATTATGGTGATTTGTGTAATGGAGATGGGTGTGTTTTACTGTGTATATCTGTGAGCGCGTAAGAATGAGATAGTAACAGTTTAAAAATAGTTCCTCAACAGTACGTATTAGATTTGGGTATCTACATTCTTGTCTGATTTCCTTACTAGTGCGCACAAACAGTATGTGTGACAGCCTGGGAATCATGGGAGGAAACTGACGTGATTGACAAGCTGGCAATAACAACATGCTTTCAGGAGCCTGTGTAGGAGGGTGAATATTTGTGTGTTTGTGGCATGGGTGCATGACTGAGTAATTTTAAAGATGAGGCTGAAATATGTATGCATGTACAAGTGTGTGTTTTTCAGTAATAAGCCGTGTCTGCAGGCTGAGGTGGAGGACAGTTGGCAGCAGGACTGGCACGCCTGTCAGGCCTCCACCTGCATTTAGATCAGGAAATGACCCACACCCATCAAGAGAGTTCTGGGCCTCTGAGCATGTAAACATCAACTGCATTTTGAGGAAACCTTCCTGCTTGTACTTTGTTTATTTTGTTGAGTAAATTACTATGGGTGAACTGTAAGAAAACAAAAACAAACATGAGTTAACTCTCTCTACAATATTTAGTTGTATTGTCAGATGACTAAGACCTTGTTCCCATTTTGATTGATAGATAGATAGATAGATAGATAGATAGATAGATAGACAGACAGACAGACAGACAGACAGACAGACAGACAGACAGACAGACAGACAGACAGACAGACAGACAGATAGACAGATAGATAGATAGATAGATAGATAGATAGATAGATAGATAGATAGATAGATAGATAGATAGATAGATAGATGATCACAAGTACATTTTGCCTTTGCTGTGAAGCTCTAATTTCTGTTTCCACTGATAATTCCTGAGCTGTTTCAGCAGCTTAATTGGAGTTCACCTGTGGTAAATTCAGTTAATTGGACATGATTTGAAAAAGCATACACCTATCTATATAAGGTTCCAGGGTTAAAAGTGCATGTCAAAGCACAAACCAAGCATGAAGACAAAGGAATTGTCTGTAGATCTCAGTGACAAGATTGTCTCGAGGCACAAGGCTGAGGAAGGTTACAGAAACATTTCTGCTGCTCTGAAATTTCCAATGAGCACAGTGGCCTCCATCATCCATAAGTGAAAGATGTTTGGTACCAGCTGGACTCTTCCTAGGGCTGGCCGGCCATCTAAGCTGAGTGATCGGGGAGAATAGGGCCTTAGTCAGGAATGTAATCATTAACCCGATGGTCATGCTGTCTGAGCTCCAGTGTTCTTCTGTGGAGAGAGGAGAACTTTACAGAAGGACAACCATCTGTGCAGAAATTCACCAATCAGGCCTGTATGGTAGAGTGACCAGACGGAAGCCACTCCTTAGTAAAGTGCACATAGCAGCCCACCTGGAACTTGCCAAAAGGCATCTGAAACCAAACTCTCTGGGCTGATGAGACTAAAATTAAACTCGTTGGAGTGAATGCCAGGCGTTCACTGGAACTGGAAGACTAGTCAGGATAGAAAGAAAGATGAATGCAGCAATGTACAGAGACATACTGAATGAAAAGACATCCTTGGGCGACGGTTCATCTTCCAGCTGGACAATGACCCAAAGCACAGCGCCAAAATATCAATGGAGTGGCTTCACAACAACTCAGTGAATGTTAATTTAATTCAAATTAATCATCTCTGGAGAGCTCTGAAAATGGCTGTACGCCATCGCTTTCTATCCAATAAAAAATGAATTTGAGGAAATAAATGAATTTAATCCATTTTGGAATCAAGGCTGTAACAAACAAATGTGGAAAAAGTGAAGCGCTATGAATACTTTCCGGATGCAATGTAGAGAGAGAGAGACGGACGGACGGACAGACAGACAGACAGATAGATAGATATTGTTGCTATTTGATCTTTGCAATTTTCAGTATCCTCTCCTCTCTTTGGATAGAAAGACAGAAATAAATGAATCTAATAAAGCAATAATCCTCTCATGAAAGACTGCTGATCCTAAACTTCCTAAATTCTCCGACTCCCCATACAATACTTCAAAGCAGACTGATGTCAATCGGGCCTTTCATTAATGGCGTGTTTACATCAGCCCAACACTGGCCTTTCATGTGCAGCAGATGCAGAACCTCCGTGTTTGTGCTGTCTGCTCCCCGCTTCATGTACTCTAGGTGAAAACTGACAAAAGCCGAAAACCATCAGCATTCAGTCTCTATTATCTTCCCAAAATGGCTGTGGTGCATTCCTCCTCCTACTCCTTCCTCAAACAGACAGCCGAGAGAAAGTGCGGATTAAAAAAAAGAAAACACAAGATGTTGTTGCGGTGGCCCAGGTTTGCTCAGCTGTGTGGCATTTTAGCCCCACCCAAGAACCCAAAGCCAGCGTGACCTCTTCATCTCTCTCTCTCGAGCGCATTTACAGTTGATATTGCCCACGAACAAGACCTGAAAGTCAGGTTTGTCCAGTGCAGGAAAGCAAGAGTTCTGGATGGTGGAGCTCTGGGGAACTGCAGATTATGAAAGAGAGCGAGAGAGCGTGAGGTTCAGTGACTCTGAGGAGGAACAACCCTGAGGGAAGTGGACAGAGAGAGAAGCCTGGGGCTGGGAAACGAAAGGGTGAACGGAGCTACAGAATGGAGGGGTCAGAAAAGAGATGGGACAGAAGGAACGGAGGGGGCTAGAGGAAGTGAGGGAGACGGGGTGTGTCCTGCACTGGCAAGAGGCTGCAGGTTGTGCTCTCAGGGCCAAAAGTTCATGGAGGAGGCAGAGCAGGTGAGCAGGTAAGCTTAGCCTGCATGTGCCTGAGTCTCACGTGGATCTCCTTTGTCTCCATAGTGGCCTCAGGTTTCGGCCCCCCCTCCTAAAACACACACTCCCTTTCACAGAGCAAGGCTAATGCCCCCGGCCCCCCACACCAAACATACAAACACGCACATAAAACACACACACGCACGCAGGCCTTAACACTCACTTTCATAGGCATGTTAGAGATGAAAGACGGAAGAGCTACAAAGATTCATATTGTAAATATAATCCTAATAATAATCTGTGGACCCTCTTTCTTTGAAGCATTTCTTTGCGCTTTTTTTTCTTTCCTTTTGTGGAAACACCCTGTCCTGTGGCGTATATACTTTCGAGAAATATGCGGATAATTACATTTCAGCGTAATTATAAGACTCGGTTTTAAGAGTCAACTGTGAATGTGAAAGCATGTCGAAGGAGGCGGTTTTGAAAGGTATATAGAAATATAAATAAGATAAACTTTCTTAATGTTTATAAGAACAATTGCTTTACATTATAAACATTGGGATTATAAGCATAGACTGATCTTTTGCTGATATGTGTATGATAACAAAAATGCAGATTTGATAAAGTAGATTTGATTCTTTTATGTCTATACAGCACTTTGATAAACACTTGCTTTTTTAAAAAGTGTTTAATAAGTAATTCTTAAATTTACTATAAATCAAATCATAATATATAGCACAGAATTTGTCCAATTGGAAAACCATAAAATAATGATCTGTTGGTGCCAGACGGGCTGGTCTGAGTCTTCCAGAAACTGCTGATCTACTGGGATTTTCATGCATAACCATATCTAGGGTTTACAGAGAATAGTCTGAAGAATAGAAAATATCCAGTGAGAGGCAATTCTGTGGGCGCAAATACCTTATTGATGCCAGAGGTTAGAGGAAAATGGCCAGACTGGTTTGAGCTGATAGAAAGTCAACAGTAACTTAAAT